TGGAGACGTCACCAGAAAATTAATTACACACAAAAACGTTTCCTCGGATTGAAGTAATCTGCAGCCAGGATCGCCTTGTTTTAAATGGCCGTTTCACGAAATTTCTGAGTAATCGTTTTGATTGGCGGGCTGTTTGAAGTCAATCTTCCCAAGAGTTTGATTGAATTGCTCGGATTAACTCCGGTTATAATTAAAATCATGTCGCAAACTATCATTTGGAGCACATTTTACGGAGAGGCTCATCGCAGTTTAATTCAAGGCAGCTGGGAATTCGGCGCAGCTGTTTCCTGTTGTGTATACCCAGCATCTGTTCAGATCTCCATGTATTGTTTCTTAAATGAAGCATATGGCCTGAAATTATTGTTTTTTTTTGGAAATAACTCAGATCTCCAGCCCTCCTCATCCTCTTGCATCAATCACTTGGTTTATTTGTAGTTCCACACACTCCCACATATTATTCGCTGTTTTACGGTGATTGAAGCGCTTAGACTGCTCCCAATGAGCAATTCTTGGGTGATTTAATTGATAGGATTGTGAAATTTTGATTTTTTTTATAATCAATCACGCATCACGGTCGAGTATAATTTTAGCCTTTGCTGCAATCTGATTGGTCGAATTTAATGATGACCGAGATCCCGGTGATTAGACTGAATTTGTAGGAGCACAACTGTCAAGGCCTGTTAGGGTAGTGGCTGGCTAAGCATAATCGTTGGTCACATATTACTTGCGCATTGTGAGTAATATAGCGTACGCCTAACTAGGAGCAGCACACAAGTTACTAGTTAAATCACGTTCTGCCTAAAAATCTTGCCTTTTTAAATTTAAAACTGGACACTATTGAGGATTTCACAAGGTAATCTAGAATTCAGTGAGTATTCAAGGTGTCGGCGATTTGTTTGGCCATAAAAGTCTCAAACAAGCCACGAAACAGGGATAACTGTTGCCTCTTGTGAAATGAAATGAATCGCTTTTAGAGTCTAAATTAACCCGAAACCCTCAGCTGTTTACTGAAAGTCGTCTGGACACATCGTTAGCCATTGGATAAGTCTATCTTTCTGCAAACTCTGGCAGGAGGAATCAACGCACATATTTGTCTAAATTCTTCCAATTCGTGCATTGTTTTAACCAACTGTTTGTAAAAATGTTGCTTATTATAATCCAGATGGGTTCCGGAAGTACTAAGTTTGTTGCCCTGCCGGCACACTACCCAAGCGAACTATGGAACTGGTGTCAGTGACTTCTACATTCCGATAGCCTCTCCACCTTCTCAACAAAATCTGTAGAAGCGTCAAAAACTTGATCTTTTTATTGATTTTCCATCATTTTTTAATTGGCGGCAGTTTTAATCTAGCACTTAAAAACCCTTAATTCGTTAGGGGGCCAATCTCACGAGAATTCGGAGTTGTTTCTCGTCTAAGTGGAATTACGACTTATGCATGCGGATCGTCGAAGTGTGCATGCGTTCCTTCCAACTGTTTCCCGGTTACCCACGGCAAGCCAATAAGCATCTCATCAATTACCTGCAAATCAATACGACCCACCGAAATTTGGTTGGCTGGACTGACCTTCGAATGTGTCAGCGCAGCGTTTCGATTGGAACAGAAGAGGTTGAGGGGAATGACGATTTCATTGGCCAGCTACAGGAAGCATCTCCTGTTGCCCTGTTTTGTCCACGTGACTACAGAGTGCGTCGAAGTATTGTAATCTTGGGACAACGGGGACTGAGAAAGTGTGTCGTACTGAAGCATATTTGGGCCAAGGCGCCGGAAACGTTTTTCAACACAACCTGTAAGTCAGCATTGAAGTGAACCTACCTATTAAGGTGGATGAATTAACTTGTATCGATTTTTCAGCAAATTTAATTAAGTTAAACAAACATTGTCCATCCTTTTCCGTGACCTCGTGAAAGAACCTTGCAGACTTCAAGGTAATGAAGTCACCATCGACGAATTTACGCACATAATCCGGAGGTTTGGACTGCAAATCCACTAAGGCGTGCTGCTGCTGCTGCTGCATTGGCCGGAACAGCTGGTAGTCGAATGAGACCAAGTTTTGCGATCATGCCGCGTGTGGGAGAACTTGCCATCCAAGTTCAAGAGGGTCTTCTGAGTCGCAAAGCGAGCAACGCGAGGTGGTCGAGCGTTGTAATGCGGCAGCAACAGCAGCAGCAGCAGTATGACTTACTTGCTTCCTTGCCCTGTAAATAGCCTTTTCTGATCTCCGGCCTCTTCGCTCACTTTGTTTAATTGTCGTCTGTGGCGTTCTACAGTCACCGTCAGACGACCCGCTTCCAGGAGTTCGTAATAATTTACACCCTTTATGTCCCACCAGATACACAGAAGCACCTTCTTCAGTTGGATGTCCTGTTTCGGCGTCGATGTACTGGGTTACCCCTAATCTAGACACGACATTTTATTACGTTTGGGATTCTCGTAAAAAAATATTTTTATAGCACACGTCACAATGTTCCACAGAAAATCTATTCACTGCTTGTTGCCAGCTGGCAAGCAGTGAAAGGCATGTGTTCATACGTTGGCCAAGGAGGTCGTGTTCGGTCACCACATGTGATGCCCAACTTCCACGTTTTTGAATTTTACCTATTTGGTGCAAAGGCTTGGAAACAGCTATTCGGGTGACTCCTAACTGAGCTGCAAGCTCTTGTTGCGTTTGCGTTGTGTCTTCATCCAGTGGAGCTTGCAGTTCCGCAATTTCGAAGATGCGAGGCTGCTGTCCAGGAGGACGCAACTGGTCACTGCGATTGAAACCATTACATCTAAGACGTAGGTACCAAAAAATAACACGTTTGACAAGGCGCAACGTCGGCAGCACCAAGACCACTACACATTAATTCCCTCCGTGCTTTAGAAGCATTCTTCCTTGTTAGAAATCGTGTAAATTGCCGTGCCATCGAATGTGCAGTTTGTCAGTTGCCATCGTAAACTCACTCTGCTATTGTGAGGGGTTATATAACTCACGTAGACTTATCGTTGGCTCCTATGCAACCTTGCGTCCGATCGCTTCGACATCACAAAAGACTGCGAAAATATTTAATTTCAAATGCAATTTTAACCTCGACGAAAAAGTCTGTACGAATTAAGTTAGACGCCTAAAATTTCTCCCATTTAAGCTGTTTTCGAACCGGAAGATTTTGCTGACGAGATCATATTTGTGACTGGGGCAATATGGCCGCTTGCACTCAGCGGCCTTGAGGACGCGTACAAGAGCATTAAAAAGTCAGTGGGGATGCACACCGAAACCTCCGACGGGAATTCGTTGCAGCACCGAGTTGCTGCTAAAAGTGATTCCACGGCTGCAGCCTATCGGCGTCTGCCACGTAAGTCACCTTCTGATTGGCTAACTTGCCCCACTAGAAACTCCACGCCGAAATAACCCACGGTTATCAAGCGACCTCCTCTCTTGTGCGCGCAGAACTGTCAAGAGCGGTAGAATACCGATTGCAGTGATTGGCCCATCTGTGTTATCCGAATGGCGCGCCTCAGCAGAATTGGCCGCATTCGTTGTGCTGCTTCAACCAGCAGGAGTCAAGGTACGCATTGATTGGTGCATCCACCAGCTGAACTTATTAACCAATCACAATAGACCCACATGGTTTTTTAATACGCAACGAAGTAAGAGATTGCACATTCCTGAAAATGACCTTGAGAATTCACTGGACGGCTTTACATAAAAAAGAACGCAGTTATGCCATTGTCAGGCTTCTAATAGCAGTAGACGTGCACTTTGAATAACGCCTGCCATTACATTGCTTTGCCATGGCAACTGTAGCCGACCTTGCTATTTGATGGTTCACTTAACCTCGAAAACAGTCTCTCGATGGAGTGTTGGGAGGTATGTATCATGAAGAGTAGAATCGCAGGTAGCCCAAGCCACGAGGTCAGAGGTTAAGGTCACCCCTTGTGGAATTCCACGTCATGACTTGAGAGATAAGTGGTGAAGACGTAGCACACCATATACGCACAAAAGATCGTACATATTTAACAAACAGAGAAAGAAATGCTGATGTCCACGAAGATCATGCCTGTCAGTCCGTCCTTTTTTGTCGAAAGGACTTCGCGCTCGCCGCACCACAGGACGTCGACATCTGCCTAACCCACACCCCGGGCGATCCTGCCAAGACGGCGAGCACGATTGTGGAGGCTTTCGAAAGCATCAACACGGGTTGTGGTCGGAGCGCCATTCCATGGATTCCAGCCTCGTGGATCTCCACAAATCCCCGTCCAATATCCAGTGTTTGAAACGCCACCATGTGTATTTACCGTGTTCTTTTGCTAGAATATTGAAGGCGAATTTGTATTATGACTATGGCCGTTTTTTAATGCTCCAATTTCGTAGCTAGCCGCGCATGTGCCGCCGGATTTATAACCGGCTATAACTTTATGCAAGGTTCACGTTATCCCTACGTAAACCCCTAAATTATTTATCCGAAACTACGACGATAAAATACCGGGTTTTATGGTCGTTAATTAAATTAAATCAGCGATTAGCTATGTTTGCGCGTGACATATTAGCCCCACAAGTATTTCTTGACGAAACCACTTTATATATTAGTTAGGACTAGACAACATTTAATTTGATACATAACAACGGGAAACTAAGTGGGGGCACACAAATTAAAACCTGATTGGCACACAGTGGTATCTCGTAACCATGGCTACGTCAGAAGTGTCAAAACAGATGCATACAATTGGGATACTGGAATAAAACTAGTGTCGTGGGCCCCAGCATGTGGTCTTGAACCACGCCGGGTTCACGGAATTAACCCTGGTCCGATTACGTTTCCCTGACACCCGCGATAACACCGTTTACTTCAGAGCTCAAGCACGTTGGTGCCGTTGTGTCGTGTGTGGAGTTTGCGCGTGTGTATTTATACCTCGGATGTGTGAGTTATACATGTGCTAACATCGAGACCTAGGCGTGTGGATACTCCAAGATAAATATTCGAGCTAATGGAGGGGGAGTTGAGGATTCTCGCGTCTGGCGTTTGCTGCGAAAAGAGGAACCCTGTGTCGGAGGTTGAAGTGGCCGGATTAGCGAGTGTGATACAACACGATTCACAACACTAGTTTGCTCGAAATCAGGTGCTTAAGCACCCAAAGGGCATGTCATTATGAGTAAACAACTCTTGTTTATATGCAGGGGTCCATGATGGGAGTGAATTTTCATCATCCGTATCATGAAAGACGTTTGTTTACCACTGTCCGGTATTCTGATATGTAGTATGCTAGATACACAAGGTGACGTATGTTTCACAAAATAACTAATAAACTATTCTAGCCTATATTGGTTTAAGCATTGACAGCTATTTTGACCGAGGGAGCGTAAATCCAACAGAAAAAGAAAGTTGGAAGTTGTGTGGATTAGGATTTCATGGTTATATTATTGAATCTAGTAAAGGCAAAATGATTGGTTAAATATCGTTTGGTCAAAAAGATAATAGGCTTTGGATTTAACGCTTTATTGTTTTCTGAAAAAATTGAACTGAGCAGGTGGCGTACAGATTAAAAAAGACATCACACAAAAATCATGATTCCTTATGTGCAAAAGCATCGCCTAATGTTGACGTCGTTGGCAAATAGCCAAAAGAAATTTGACTTTTTAATCAAGAATTTATTCGTTGAACATACTTGGCTTACATTATTTAAAGAAAATAGCGGTGAGATCAAGGGTAATGCGTAAATTGAGGTGTTAAAATTACTTCCGAAATTTTCAAAAAACCATCCAGACCAAAATGCAAATTAATTTGAAAGTCACGCATTTTTAGTTGGTGGTCAAATTCAACTTAATTTAAAGCCATATTTTCCGTGGTTGCAATTTTTTTCACCTAAAAGTGTTCCTTTGAAACTAGCAAAATTTACGACGCTCTCTAAACACATAATTACATTAACAAAAACTACATTAAAATATTAGCGTAACCGCCAATATAGTAGATTAACAAATAGACTCAAAGGAGGAAATAAAACTAAGGGCCAAAACTGCGCTAAATGTTTAAATGATCGTAAAATAAAGTGCGTAAAATATCATACTTTTGAAACGAGTGGTAAATTTACTGTGGCAGTGATATTTTCTAATCATTTGGTGTCGAAATACAACGATAAATTTTATAAATTTTATTCAACACGTGGATATAAATGGTTACATAAAGTGCATTTTGGTAAAGAATTAGGTTTCGCGTCATGAAAATTTTCTGATGACAGTGGGGTTGAAAGGGGCCTACAAACACTGCCTTCATTTGAAATCAATCATTGTACACAACCTTTAATGCTAACATTTGAATAAGACTGTAACCATAATTATTCTAAAAATATTAAATCCTATACAATGTAATATTACATAATTTCGGTCAAACTTTCTCCTTCATTTTTTCAACGTATGCAGAACTTCTCCTGTTTCTTATTTGACTTTAGTTGCAAGAGTGAATTTTCATTTCGGTAGTTTGGTTATGGACAATCAAGTCCCTTCAATGGAAAACAATTGCAATAAAAATTATTTATGTGGCGAATTTGATGGTTATAAAAATAGATGGTTTTTTACTTGCAAAACGTTATTACCTGTAGCACTACATAAAAGTTTTTTTTATTTTTAATGAGATAATCTCAAACTTTAAACAGTAGACATGTGCCATACCCTCGAATTTCAACATAACGTGGATTGTTTAGTTCCAGTCCTTATAATGTACACATGTGGATGTTTTGTATTGATTTTTAAAAAAATTTGTGTTAAAAATACATTTAGCAAAATAGTCTATCTTAAAATGTATTTTGTTATTCAGGTTTATTGGTGCAATTCTTTAAACGCGTGATTTCGGTTATTGGACGTCAAGGTCGACCCTCATCAGCGTGTCATGTCTGGCGATTTTGAAAGGGGGAAGAAATTGTTCATTCAGCGTTGCGCGCAGTGTCACACTATCGATAAAGGTGGTGGCCACAAAACTGGACCTAATCTTCATGGTATGTATGGCCGGCAAACTGGTCAGGCCCCAGGTTACGACTATACCACTGCAAATAAAAACAAAGGTGAGTTCCTCATTCAGACGGTCACGGAAATCGCAATAATTAATTTCATGTCCCTGATTGCACTACATATAAAACCTTGAATTTAGTAATCTTTGTCATATATTGCTTTTTGTTTTGCATAATACCTGTATTTTCTTTCATCAAATGGACCTGTATTTTCGTCTGGCACCATGTGCTTGGTTCACATTTACTTTAATTCTGACTGAATTTTTTTTCATTCATTGGTATAATTATAATCACTTTTTAACTGCCGATCGTTCTTTAATATGCTCTTCAGCTTGTAAAACTCTTTTAGTCAAAGTGGCAAGTCTTAATCTCTTTTCACTTATTCGTAGGTATTACCTGGACAGAAGAGACCCTTGATGAGTACTTAAAGAACCCGAAGAAGTACATCCCTGGCACAAAAATGGTGTTCGCTGGTCTCAAGAAAGATGGTGATAGGGCCGATCTCATCGCCTACATCAAGGAGGCGTCAAAGTAGACTTCAAAAATCATGCAATCGATGCGAAATGTCAGGACTACGTCTATCCTTATTTTTGCTCCTCCGCTCTGCCTTTTTTCCAGCTGTTGCGTCATTTTAACTGTGTACGCGATTTCCCCAACCCATAAGTGACTTAGTTCCTCGCCTTGCATCGGGTGATGTTTAGGCGTTTCATGTTTGTAGGGTTGTTATACTTTCTGAATGCCAATAGCAATGTATTTTGTGTAATTTTTGGACTTACTGTTGTTTAATTAGTTGGAATGGGGAATAATCACACATTTCGAGCGATTCCCTAAGGTTCGTCCAAAAATCGATTATTCGGAATGCAGTGCAAAAGAACAGGCAGTATTTCTTACTATATTGGGCACGGCGCCCCATTACCTCAGCCCATTCTTTCCTTTTAATGTTATGCTCATATTACATATAGTCAATGTTATTTCGGGGCTTACGTCGTCTTTTTTTCTATGTGCGGTGTATGCCAAAACAGACGATGTGCCAATTAATCTACCACTGCTGGTCCGTTCTTATGTCGCAGACGCCCTACACAGCCTCCATGTCGTAAATTACGGCTCTAGGTGTAACTGATTCGCTGCCAACGCTCCAATTTCGTTCTTAGCCCGCACTATGTTAGGGAGTCGTTGGCACTCTAAGTACTATTCAACTGAGGTGTGTCTGGTACATTTAACAAACAACCTCTCGGAAAACGGAGGTTTTGATTTGACCTTCATAAGCCCTGAGTGAAAAAATTTTCAGAACAGAATATTTTATACCTATTGAGACACGTTCTGTCGAATGACCAGCGCCATGGGCTTCTTAAACTGAACGGAATTCGTGTTTTTTTGTTTCTCATGTTGAAATTGACGCTCAGGTGATAACTACCAATAAAATTACTAAGACGTTCCTTCCAAAGTAAGCTAAGAGTGGTGTAGTGAGTCGTAATTATTCAAGTCTACGCAAGCAGTTGACAATCTTCGTTTTAGCACAAGCCCGTGCATGCCTAATTCCCTTACTTAAGTCTGTACCCGACCTTGTGTGCACACAGCCGCAAGTTCACAACAAATGAGTTGAGCCGTCGCCGGCTTTATGATTCTCTAAAACCCGAAAGTGATTAGGGCTTCGACAGCAGCACCTATCAAAAGTTGCTCGAAGAGAATTTGTAGAAACCGAAGCCACTCAGTGGCCGATTGGCAGCCCATCGCGTTTCCGCATTGAGCTGGTTTATCACGACTTCGTATCCTCAATGGCATTGTGGCTTATGCTGAATCCATGTCTGACACCATGCCTCCAACAAACCTTAATTTAAAAAAGTGCATTGTCTGTTCCGTGAAAAGGGCTGGTTTTAGCGTAATTCCTTCAACAACACCCTGCATGTTGGGCATCGTCTAATGTCGTGATCAATTGCTCACGAGATCAGATCTGCAGGAAATCCCTAACGTGCAGACTAACCAGTTTCCGTGGCATTTTATTGATCCGTTAATTTTCGGTTTTAATTTATTTCCACTTGGCGCCTGTATAGTCGCCTATTGTCTTCCTTTACAACTCGGACCAACTGACTTTAAATCGGATTTTCGTGCGCCATATCGAAACAGGCAATCGAATCATGACCCCTAATCGACCGCTGTCAGCAACTACGCATGGTCGGTCGTTAGGTTAGATTTGCCTTTGGTCCAGTTAACGATACACGAACTACACTTGCGATCGATAGTTTGGAATCTAGATGCTCTTTGAATTTAGGCAAGTGGTGACCAGATACATCTAACACAGTTTCCATGGCGCACTTTGAGTTATCTTGCTTCAGTATCACTGGCAAGCCATTACAGAGAATCCAAGTAGGCTCTACCGAAGCGGTTCAGTGTTTGGTAGAGAACTTTCGCCCATCTTCTTTCCGAGTCTTGTGACGACCGTGTCAACGCCGTTAAATGGAATTTGTTAATTCGCGTTCATCTTTAACCTCCCACCGAATGGATTCGTTTCTTGAAACGCCGCAATTTCTTCGAGTTAGCCTCAACCGAGTGAGCACTTTCCGGACGGCAAATGGAAGCGTCTGCAGCGGATTAACAGCGATCGCACCTAAGTGAACCCCGTTTACTGACATCACGGTGACAATGACTTCCCCTTTTCATTGGTTACCGTCATCCTCTCACTCATTCAAACGTTTGGCTGGCGTGACGCTAATAAACGGTCGTGTCCTCTGCCGCCTCTCTTCTCTCCATTCTCGGGTTGTTAACCAGAGGGTTGTAAGGTAGTGCCAAAACTCAACCTGCTACAAGTCTATTTGCGGCCAATGTTCGCGTGAGTGAGTCAAAATATGCGGACAGCTGACGTCAAATTTTGCGCTCATAATCTTTTTATCTTGTCGAAATCGTTAAGGTATCTACTTATAAATATGCTTATGTACGTTGCGCCTTAAAGCAAATGACGTTTGAATCCGGCAGTGGAGGAAGCTACAAATCAGTTCAAGCAAAATGTTATTGGACAAAAGTTCAGTGTATTTCTTCCATATCAATTCATTTAAACAATAGGTGGATTACCCAATCAGAATCAACCTCTACGATCCATCTCGAGGTCATTTCATGTCCCCAAACCTGTTAATTAAATGTTTGAGTGCGTTGTGAATCGTGTTTATTCACACCCCTTAATTCGGTCAATCCACCTCCGACACAGGGTTCCCTTTTTCGCAGCATGCCGCCAGCCACGCGGATCCTCAACTCCCTCCTCATTCACATGAATATTTATCTTGTATTATCCTCACACCTAGGTCTCGATGATAGCGCATCTATGACTCACACATCCGAGGTATAAATACACACGACAACGACATCAACGTGATTGAGCTCTGAAGTAAACGGTTGTTTCCACGTCCTCTGTGGTCTTTTTCTTCATCGCGAATATCAGGGAAGCATAATCGGGCCAGGGTTAATTCCGTGACCCCGGCGTGGTTCAAGACCACATGCTGGGGCCCACAACAAGTGTTTTAAATAAAAATGAGGCTTGTCTGTTCACTTACTACAGTTATCCACCTACTTTTCGGTTGTACCGTGCTTGCCTCAATAATGACCAATTTGTCGATAACTTTAAATCAATCAAGCAAGGATTGAGACACTCGGCAAGGCTTCTAGTCTGCCGCTCCCCTATCGACCGCGCACCCTGACTTGCCCTAATCCCATTGGTCCACACCCGTTTCAAGCGCCTATTTGTTGTCATTTTCAGACAAGGTCATCGGGGCATAGGCAACCGCGTGCACTGCACACGGGCTTGCAGCGACAGCTTGGGTGGGAGCTAGACCTCCGTTGTGTCGTGATGGCGATTTGTAGGTCACGGTAGACGCGCCAATTTCTTCAAAATGTTAAATGGTTTTCACTCAAGGCTTAGAGCCCTTTAACGTGACAACACAAATTTGCACTCGGAAAAAACACGGCAAAATTTTACGATGTTCCAGTAGACCCACAAATCATTCGTTTACTCTGTGGACACGCATTTTTGTGTGTTTGGCTAATTCAAGAATACTTGCGTTCCAGTAGAGCTCTGACGAGTCTTCGTGTCTCAGCGCACTCGTTCCACCTTTTCCACCGGTTCAGAGAGGAGTTGTCCATTGAAAATCACCTTTACGAGCAGCTCAAATCGCGTTCCTCTGGCTTCAGAACGGTTTCGTCGAAATGGTTGACGATGAAACACTTAAATGGAACCACCTTTGTGGGATCTAGTGACGACTGCTCATCGAATCCCAACATGTTGTGTGGAGACGTCAGACCGAAGTGGAGGTGGCGGGGATCACAGGACACTATTAACCCCATGATGAGTAATAAAATCGATGTTTGTGGGCCCCTAAAAGAGTGAGAAGGCTGGAGAAGACAGTGATCCGATTATTTAGCTATTTTTGCCATATTAGGCATATTGCTTAATTCATGCAGGTTTCTCTTCGGGCTTAAAATAAAAACGATTTCGTGGTCTTATGTGGTTTTCAAAAGGTCAGGCGAAAGGTTTCACTACATCCAACGACAAGTCTGCGTGAGGTACACGACCTCTCAGATTAGCA